TTTCGAAAACATCCACATATATTAATGTCACCGTTCTTTAACTTTATGGAATAAATTCTCCCCTCCCTATGTCCTGGAAGAGGCCTGAGCAGGCCATTTTCTTTTCTGCCCTCTCTTTTCTTCTTCCTCACCTGACACCCTAATGTTCTGTATCTCAACTCTTCTCAGCCATGTGTCAGATTTCTGGTTCTTTCATATCAGGACTGAGCAATTTGTGATGTTACAGATATTTCTGTAACCCCTCAATCCTCACTATTCATAGTGCTAGCTAAGGCTGATAGGCACTGCAGTCTAAATAACATCTGAAGAGTGAAAGTTGCTCACTTATTTTCCTTAGATTGTAATGGTTTTGATACCTTTGTATATCTAGGTAATATTCTCTGGCACATGATTTAAAAAAAACTGTTCCATTTTTTATGTTGGGATCCCATCTTTGTCCACGCTAATACGCCTTTGAATTTTCTGTTTGCTGGTAGATATAGCTTTAAATAAAACATACATATTTATGTCCCATCAAGATTATTTCTGTTCAGAGTTCCAGTCACTATGACCTAGGATACAGTCAACCCTTTGTATTAATGGCTTTTTTTATTTGTGGATTTAACTATTCGCAGCTCAAAAATATTCCAAAAATAAAAAGCAAACTGTAATTTTTGCCACTTTAAATAAGGGATACCATTTAAATTACCATTTCTCTTAATGGGACTCTTTGGTGCACGGCATATAAAGGGACTGGAGTATTTCCAGACTTTGTTATCCACAGAGGAGGGGGTCGTAGAACCAAATCTCAGTGGATTTTTGTATCCGGAGGGGGGGGGGGAGTGTCCTGGAAACAAAGTCCAGTGGATACCAAGGGCTCATTGTACTTCATTCTGTTCTCATACCCTGGTGTCCTGTTTTCCTTTTGCAATAGAGAACCAATAGTCTGTGACTATGAAATATGTTTAACCTTAATGTATTTTGGGAAGTTGTCCCTCAGGCATTTTTAAACATATTGTTGGCTGTCTGGCAAACTTCAACTAGTATGCAGAACACATGCGATGTACGGACCTTGATGAATCCAAGGCTGAAGTTAAAATTGCTGGAAGAAACATTAACAATCTTAGATATGCAGGTGATACCACTTTGATGGCTGAAAGCGAGGAGGAGCTGAGGAGCCTTATAACCAAGGTGAAAGAAGAAAGTGCAAAACCTGGGTTGCCATTAAACCCCAAAAAACCAAGATGATGGCGACTGGACTGATTGATAACTGGCAAATAGAGGGAGAAAACCTGAAGGCAGTGACAGACTTCGTATTTCTAGGCACAAAGATTACTGCAGGCAAAGACTGCAGCCAGGAAATCAGAAGATGTTTACTTCTTGGGAGGAGAGCAATGGCCAATCTCGATAAAACAGTGAAGAGTTGAGACATCACATTGTCAACGAAGATCTGCATAGTTAAAGCAATGGTATTCCCCATAGTAATCTATGGATGCGAGAGCTGGACCATAAGGAAAGCAGAGCCAAGGAAGATAGATGCTTTTGAACTGTGATGTTGGAGGAAAATTCTGAGAGTGCCTTGTATCGCAAGAAGATCAAACCAGTCCATACTCCAGGAAATAAAGCCCAACTGCTCACTGGAAGAAATAACCTCCCTATATAGCATCAGTAGGACTTAACAAAGAAGTAGGGCTAGATGCTGAAAAGGAAAATGGAAGAAGGAGAGTTGTCATTACTAAGTACAGCATTTGATAGGCTGCACACACACCTGGATGGCTACCAGAAATGAAAATGGGGAAAAGAGTAGCATACAGGAGAGAAGGAAGGAGAGATCAGCCCACAGCCATATGGTCATCATAAACATCATCAAGTATTCCTCACTGTGAGTAGAAGAGCTGTAGCTGAAGAAAGAAATCAGGCTGTCCCAAACAAGTTGATTCATTGCATTTGGTTCAATGTAAAAAAAAATAATCTTGGGGAAACTGCTGGAAATCGGAGTAGGCCGTAATGGACTAGATCAATCAGTGTAAGGACAATATCTATGTTTATGTGTCATATGCCATTTAACTGCTTAGTACAACCAGAAGCCATGTTAGTGTACTATCTTTGTTGTAGAGTGTAAGAGTATAAGTCCCTGTTGGCCCTAGGAAATCATTTTAAAAAAAACAAACAAAAACAACTAGTATTGCTTTTAGGGTATTCCTTTTAATAGCCTGGGTCTAAGGCTTTGCCTATAATGATGCCATAAAATACATTTGTCATTTAGGAGCCACTGTGCCTGTCATTTTGGACTTCAAGAAGGTCTAGATTTGTGCATCAAGCCCTTTATTCTTAGGTGCCAGGTTGTAGCCCTCTTACGAGCCCTTTCATCATTGTCTTAGTGTCCTGTTGCTACATATCCACATGTCAAAATCTTCCTTGGAGAATCACCCTCATTTTCTGCTCCAGTCACTGGTTTCCCCCTAACCCCAGGAATTTTCATTCAATTCTGAAGATGTTCACCAAATCTTCCTTCAAACCGCCTTGCAGTACTTTTTTCAGACCACTCTCCCTCAGATTCCTCTTCCTTGTGGCTATCATCACAATCAGACAAGTGTCAAGACTGAGAGGCTTCTTTTTCATTCTGAACTTTTGAAAAAGGGTCTGTCACATTGACCTTGAATCCAACTTCACATAATGGTCACAACCTCCTTTTTTCTTATCCAGAAAGGGGGAAAAGTGTGATCATTGTACAATGAAATATGGTTCCTTTGTTAATTAATTGTTTGGATCTTTCATACATTTCAACATCACTAGTCTTGTTTAACTTTACATATTCTATATCAATCCAGGACTAAAACAGGTTTGTTAAATTGTATTGCAAAATTCTTTGGTTATGGTAGTTATAATCAAGGAAGTAAAATATTGGCTTTGTATGACTCTCAGATGCAATAGATATTAATTGTGGAGGGGTTAACATAATGCACTCCAAATCATTCATTTGAAGCAGTGCATATGTCATGTTTGATAAGTTTTATTTAAAGTAAATCAAGCCCAGAAGCTTAATTATAAAATCAAAACAAGAGAGGCCTACATATTACTGATATAGTGTGTTGTTTTTGAAAAATAGCACTTATCAGAGATTTATCTACATGTTCAATTTCCGTGCGTAATAACACCAGTTATTGTTATCTTTATAAATAGAGATTAACTGATAGGAAGTACAAATAAGCGCAAATAAGAACTGAATGAAAAGGTGACAAAGAAGAAAAGACCACTTCAATGTTAATTATAATTGCTATGAAGTCAGAACAAATTACATTATTTTCTGCATGAATCGAAGGGATACCTGATGTCTGCATGAAATATATAGTTAGACATTGCTTTATCTGTAGGTGACTTATCTCCTCTGCCTGCCTGCATTTTAACACCCTGTGATAAGTGATGAAGTTATACTTTATGTACAATACTCTGTTTCTGCAGCATACCAATTAGAAGGAAATGTGTCAAAGTAACAATTTAAGCTTTATTATAATGTTCATAAGTGAATGGCAGAAAGCAAGGAAAACTGTTTTCTGATATCAACAACTATTACAGGCCTTGCATTTGGGAGACTAACATTATTAAATGTATGATACTTAGTTATCATTCTACAAGCAAACTTGAGCACATGCTTTCAGCCTTTTGTGTTTTGTTTTGAGATTTTAAAAATGTCGACACAACTCTCAATTCTCCATTTTCAGAAATAGAAAATGATTACCTTGCAATTATTATTAGGAGTACAATAGAAGTTGCATTTGAAAGATAGAAAAAAGGAACTTTCAAGGCAAACATTGGAAGATTTTTCACGTTGTTATTACCATAGAAGCATTATCAATCTATCACAATAAAACCAGTTGTCTGGGTCATATCTATATCAGAGAAGAGGCTTCAAGAAAATAATAGCCAACGAATAAGTGATCACTTTACAATCATTTTTTATTCTTAAAGCAAACAATACTTGTATCAACCTAAACAAAAATGAACATCTGCAATATTACTTGTTTGTGAAGGACCTGAGTATTTTCTCAGACATATGGATCCCGAGAGTCTAGGCAAGGGCCAGTCAAGCCATGGACCAGAGACCCCATGCAGCCCCCTCGCCCCAAACTGTTTGTGTATGTGTCCCGGAACTTTAAGCTGCCCTCTAGGAAGGGAAATTCCTACCTACTATATTTGGAAACTCCTTGGATCCCTGCTAGGGCAGGCAAGAAAGAAGATGTGGGTTGCAGTTCACAATGGGTTATGCAAGATAAAACTTTTTAGTCTTTTTTAAGATACTGCAAAAATCTCAATTGTTCAATACCCTAACACAACTGCCCTTCTGGAAAAGCATTGTTATAAAAGAGACAAATTAATTCTGGTTGAGGATATTCATGTTCTGCAGATATAGAGAGACATTTGTAACAATATGGGTGGTAGCATTAGAGGAGGGAGTAATAATTAAAAAACATCTAATTTCTTTTTCCCAATTTGGTCCTCTTGGATCAAACACCTCTGCATAGAACAAGCCCTTCTATTCATGTTTGCATCCAGTTTACTGTATCTATTAACTATGTACCTTCGCTTCTGTTTAAAGAAGTAGATTCTTGGTTATGCACAATGGGCTTTTTAGGTTTTAGGTTCTACCATATACATTCATTGTTTGTGAAGTAGAGGCTACGTGCCAATTTGGGAGCATGGCAAATTATATTTAAACTTCTAGAGTAATGATAGACAAGAGAAGTACTTATAGAAAGTAATTGTAATGTAATTGTATATAATGGTTATTACATTTCTGCAATGAGCACATAGCACTTGTTTTTATACAGACACACTTAGCATTCATAAAAATCTGTTTTATTATCTTTTGGCATTCACTATTATTCATTTTACTATTGCGCTTCTATCATTCATCTCAAGCTATCTATCTATGCAATAAAATCATTGTAGAAATAGCAGCACCTATCATGTAATTTTGAATGCCAAGTTCAAAAACATTTTTTAATTATTTCTCTTTTTAGAGCTGGCTAAGGTGTGAAGAACAGACATGCCAATATCGCACACGTCGTCTCCCCCTACGTTTTTCCCGGAATGGTCCTTTATGTCCTGTCTGTAGGAAGGCAGCTGTTAAACGAGAGGTAAGAAGGAAATTTAACTGCAGAAATATTCCATTCTAATTTGGAAGTGCCATGAGATAACTTCCTCAGTGCTATTCTGTGCTTCTGTGTAATATTAATGGGAAAGAGGAAGCATACATAAAGAGGTGGAGATGTCTAATATAGTTTATACACTGTCCTCACAGAATTGGACAGATATGTTCTCAATGGTGTTTTAATGTAAAGAGCCTTCGAGGGTTTAATGCCTGGATTGCTCTGGAGCAGGGTTTCTCAACCTGGGGGTCAGGACCCCTGGGGCGGAGGTTGTGAAGAGGGCTTGCCAAAGACCATCAGAAAACACAGTATTTTTTGTGGGTAATAGGGGTTCTGTGTGGGAAGTTTGGTCCAATTCTATCGTTGGTGGAGTTCAGAATATTCTTTGATTGTAGGTGAACTATAAATCCCAGCAACTACAATTTCCAAATGTCAAGGTCTATTTTCCCCTAATTCCACCTATGTCCACATTTGGACAATTGAGTATTCGTGCCAAGTTTGGTCCAGATTCATCATTGTTTGAGTCCACTGTGCGCTCTGGATGTAGGTGAACTACAACTGCAAAACTCAAAATCAGTGTTCACCAAAGCCATCCAGTATTTTCTGTTGCTCAGGAGTGTTCTGTTCTCCAAGTTTAGTTCAATTCCATTGTTGGTGGAGTTCAGAATGCTCTTTGATGGTAGGTGAACTATAAATGAGAGCAACTACAACTCATAGATGACAAAATCAACCCCCACCCCACCAGTATTCAAATTTGGGTATATTGGGTATTTGTGCCAAATCTGATCCAGTGAATACATCTTGCATATCAAGAGACTTACATTACGATTAATAACAGTAGCAAAATTACGGTTATGAAGTAGCATATGGGGGTCACCATAACATGAGGAACAGTATTAAGGGGTTGCGGCATTAGGAAGGTTGAGAACGACTGCTCTGGAGGAACATACTGAATTTTCATTATCACTTTGAGCAACCAGAAATGACAATATGGTCCTTTTTTGGGCTGTCGGAGATCTTGATTGTTTTAAGAAAGGTAGCTCTACATAAAGTTTTCAACATTTCTGAAATCTTGTTATTTTATTTAAGCCACCTTCAGGAGTATCCATTGGGGTCCAAGAATCTTTAGAATGGTCAGTGTATGAGAGTACGGGTTTGTGCAAGTTTGCATGCTTCCTTGGTTGCTTGACCTCTTCTTAAGGACCACCATACCATGCTTCCTATATCATATATACTGTTTCCATTATGAAGGGCTACAGCCGCAGTAATTTATTCCTTTAAGGTTTTCATCATTGAACAATAACTATGGTGTCAGCCTTTTGACAGAATTTACAAAGATGGAAACTCATTATGCTGTTCCTCTAAGCCTAAAATATGTATCTGCTACCAGCTGATGAGAGGAACAGGAACTATTTTGCACATCTCTCTTTCCATAATTTACATAGTTTGTGGATGGGACTCTGCTAAGTGCACAAAATGTGTGTATATATAAACACATTAGCTTAAATACCCTAAAGGCACCAGATCTTAAGTGATCTTGGAAGCTAAGTAGGGCCAATCCTGGGTAGTACTTGAATGGAGGCCACCAACTGATACGATTCTCTAGGCCACATTTCAGAAGAAGGGACTGGCAAAACCAACCACTTGAGTATTTCTTGCCTAAGAAAGTGCTATGACATTCATGAGGTTATCATAAGTCAACAAGCACCTTCAAGGCCCACACATACATGCACACACATCTGTTTTTGATGAGACAGGGACAGAAAGTGAGATGAAATCTTCTGAACAGGGGCATAGACAGCAAAACAAACATTTTAGCAGTGTTAACCCTTTCTTATGCTATCAAAAACTTTTTTAAATGGCTGGAAATACACTAAAAATTTGTACCTGTTCTGACTCGCATACAAATTCAACTTTAGAGCAAACCTACAAAACTGAACTTGCTCTTAATCTGATGACTGCTTATTTATATAAAAATCACTCATGATTCTAAGACACACCCCATTTTTAGAGATATTTATTTGGGGAAAAATGTGCCTTAGAATCGAGAAAATACAGTACACACACAAGCATAAATTGAATTTTTAATACATTATATGTAAAGTCACATATATGTTTACATATTTTTTATGTGTAGATAGGTAGAAATGTGTAAATGAATATGTAGATTATATGTGGCGATATGGTTATACAGTGCAAGATCAAACAAAATGGCAAAATTCCAGTGAAATTCAAGGGAGGAAGGTTTCCAGAGCATATTTTCAGTTGGTCTAGATGCATAGAGACAGACAAAACTATCTAAAAAAATCCTGCCAGCAAAATTTTGAATTTCTCTGCTTTTCAACAATTTCCATAAATGTATTATCAAAGGCAAATTGGTAAATTTGACAACTTGGATCGCAGTTGGACACAACACAAAGAAAATTTTAAAGTGAGCAGGAAGGTTTGAGATGTTTACTTTTTCTTTGTGGTCTCTGTGAATACATACAATAAGTTGTTAGTGTGCCTGCACAGGCTGAAATGGAAAGCTTTCCAAGCTGTGATCTTTCAAATTTTGGCAGTAACCCTGTTCACGTCTCTCCAGGGCATAAAGGGTGTCTTGGCTCTCCATTGTAAATTTTACTTCAGCGTGTCCCTGCTTTCCAGAATCTCCAACTACGGAGCCTGCATAGGCACATATCGACGGATACTCTGGGAAAAGGCACAACTCCTCAATGCCAAACTCTCAGAAGAAGACAAAGTGGTGCTCCCCACACTCCAACGGGAGGCTGTCTTGCTCGCACACCATCAAATTCAAATGTCAAAATGCTATCTTAACGTTCCGCATGAACTGCTTCTTAATAACTCCTACTTGGCAGAGGCAGGTGTGGTACCCAACCTTACTGGAAGTCTCCAAGGGCCGCTACCATTTTCGACCCCTCCCACACCTCTCCATAGAAGAAGGAAAGATACTCAACCTAGATGTCACCTCCATCTACCTAACAGCATGTACCTTGCACCAGCTCTTCAGAACATTCTGTTAGTGGCTCACAAACTCTCAACAAAGAAATCTTACTCCTACAAGGTCTCACAGCATGAACAAGGCCATCCTTCTGTCTTCCAGAGCCACCTCATCAAGACGTTCCTGAAATAGCAACCTGTACCCTCCCATCTGCCCCCTAGCCCCTGGCTGGAGCATTGAACTTGTACTCTCCCAGATCTCTGGACCTCCATTTGAGCCAGTCGCTACATCGGACCTCCATCTCCTCTTCTAGAAAGTGGCTTTTCTTGTCGCCATCACCTCAGCACGCTGCCCTTCAGAGTGGCAGCCATGAGCCTTACCTCATCTTCCACAGGGATTGTGTGGTTCTCCGCACAGACATCACCATCCTCCCGAAGGTAGTGTCGGCCTTCCATACCAGCCAGAAGATCATCCTCCCATCCTTTTTTCAATCTCCCATCTTCCCCCCTGGAAAGGCATCTGCACCTGCTGGACATCAGGAGGGCTCTTCTATATCCAATCCATCAGAAATTCCCCCCCATTTGTTGGGTTTTTTTTTTTACTATATCTCATAACAAACTGGGTACTCCTATCTCTCCCAGCACCTATGCCATTGGATTGCCGCAGCTATCAAACTCTGCTACGATCTAGCTTGCCATCCTCTCTCCCATCTCGATCCGGCCTCGGGCTACAAGGGGCATTGCTGCTTCTATGGCATTCCTTCATGGAGTCCCACTGGATGCCATCTATAAAGCTTCTATATGGACAAACCCAATGACTTTGTTAACTCATTACAGGCTGGACTCGAGAATGTATTCAGACACTGCATTTGGCAGGTCAGTCCTGTGTCGCTTGACTTGAGGTGTTCACACTTCTTACTCCCATACCAAGTACACTTCCTGTCATTTCCCCCCACAAAATAATGACTCAGTTAAACATGTTTTCACATTATTTATTGTTGAAAATGTCAATAGCCTCAAGAGCACAAGGCTATAAAAATCAATAGTTATAAGAAAGTGAAGACAATATGTTTTACTCCTCCCTGTTCTTACACCAACCTAGCCTTCTATAGGCAATTAGCTTAGGATGTCATGTTGTTGTGTAACATAGTTTGGTCCATCCAAGTTCATTCATTGCTGTGAGGCAATGACACTGTTGTTGTGTTGTTGTGTTCTTTCTATGCAATAAACACATTGTTTTATTCACTACATGGTGTTGGTTTGGCATATGTCCCGCCTACCTGTCTATGACTTAAGCTTGCTAGTCTCCATATTGTGTACATTTACAGAGACCACGAAGAAAAAAGACAGGTTGCTTACCTACAGCCATGTTTCTTTGAATGGTGTTCTGTGAATCCAGACAAACCCGCCTGTTTCTCCCCTCTTATGCAAACTTCCCCCATTCTAGCTCCCTTAGCGGCAAAGAAACTGAGGCCCACGGAGACAGGGCGCCTCAGGGAGAGGAGTGGGCAGGGTTACTGCCAAATTTGAAAGATCTCAGCTTGGAAAGTTTTCCGTTGGAGCCTGCGCAGGAGCAGTAAATCCATATTGTGTGAATTCACAGAAAACCACTCAAAGAAACATGGTTACAGGTAAACAACCTTATAAATCACCATCATTGTATAGTTAATTCAGGACTTCAGGTGGCTTTGCTTTTGCTGATAGCCCACAGGGATACTTTCATTAACAAATCTGCTGACAGTGAATCCTTTTTATTAAAGCCTTTTACTTACATCCAGACCCCTGCCTTCATCCTCTGGCAACATTGGTATTGGGAAGATAGGGAAGTAGAGCTGGAAGAACACACACTTTATGTGTCAGATTGCAGCAGCTTGACTGAAGTAAACAATGCAATAAAGCTTGAGCTGGGAAAGACTGGAATTCTACTGTAATCAATCCTGCTTTAGCTTTCAGTGCCAGCCCATTACAGGTAGGTAAATAGCAACTGCCTCCAGAATCCCTTTCTGAGGATATATGGGCAGTAAAACAGAAAAAATGGGTGATATTAG